CAGTCTCTCCCTTTCTCTCTTTACAACACTGTTCCTTTCTACCTAATAATGAAATATAACGGTAATAACATACTTTTTTTATGAATAACGAGTAATAATGATGAATTACTTTTAAAAAGTAACCTTTGCCATTTTACTATCTTGCATCTCTTTATTTCTATCTTCTTGCTTCGTTTCTATTTTCTGTTTCTTATATGCATAAAATGATACACGTGATCAATTTAGCACACTTGTAAAAATCTCCGGATGCTTTTTTTTAATGCAAACGACAAATATAAATTTTGCTACGTTGATTTTATGGTTGTTTATTGATTGTTCGTGTTGAAAGAAAGCGTTCAAACATTTTTATAAGTGAGCTTAATTGATCACGAGTGTCTTTTTGTGCATATATTTTTTATCTCCATGTATATCATTATAAAATTGGAATATGATTTCTTGCTTCTGACATCATTAAACAATGGCAGTCTTAGCGAATTATTATAATATAACACAGTCGATCGCGAGTTGCTTTGCGCTAGCACTTGGCTTCGCGGTACTCCCGTGTCGCTTGATATGAGCTAATCGGGACACTCCCGCTGTCCCGCCATCTAATAGAGTAACATAGGCTGCAGTCCGAAATATGCTCACGACGCTAATAGTGCTTACGAGATTTACGATCGGTCCGAAATGTGAGCGCGCTAACAATGATTTCATTTCGGATCGCTTGTGATTATTATAGGTATAATTCTTTACTTCAAAGGATAGATTAAAAACACAACAAACTTACCCGTGCAGAGCAGCAAAAAGTGTGAACATTTAACATTTTTAATAATAGATATTCAATCTAAAGCTACATTATTACAATGCATGGAAACTATTCGAGGATTCAGAAGATGATTATTCCAATTTTGTAATTTATTCATCTTCAAGTGACGACGAAGATGAAGATAATCCTTATTTGTATGTCGCTTTAATTATGATTACAAAGAGGTGAAAATTAGACAAAATTCGAATTGAAGTCTTTGTAAGAAGAAGAAGAGTTATTCCTGGATATGCAGCGAAAGAATTCAAAACACATTTTCAGTATGTTGTATTGATTTTGATTGCTGCTGTAATACTTATTTGTAATACAAATTTTATTATTATGTAACTCTGCTGTTGATTTTTCGAATAGATTACTTCCGACGATAGATTACATTAGACCTTTTTATATGCGTTTTCTATACGCGTTCTTTCTATACGCGTTCCTATTTTTCCGCGCAAATCACGCATCGCTCACGACGACCCATCTCCAGACTAGGGTCACTGTGAGCGCGTAACATCATCAGTTCATGACGTCATTTTGCTCATGAAAAAAATCGGACCGATCGTGAGCGCGCTGATAGCGTTGTGAGTGTATTTCGGACCATAGCCATAATCAACTGACACTTTCTGTATAGAGACGATGACGATCCCACCATCTAACATAGGAGAAATATAGTCAACTGACATTTTCCGTATGGAGACGACGACGACGTTTCTTACGTGTAAATTCATGATTTCTGACTTTAAGCTTAGATATCTCAGCTAATCTAGAGAAAAAGTAAAGACAGTTTTATGAAGTAATGTAAACCCAAGGAATTGATTAAACCCATCTAGAACCTTATCCGTTCAGCCGTTATAATCGAATACGAAATCTTGCCTGTGTTCAATTAAAGTCGTCGCGTAAGTATACACGATCGGCCGTGAGTTGCTTCGCGCTTGTACTTGACACTCCCGTGTCGCTTGATATAAATGAAGTAAAAATAAAATAAAAAAGCAAATGCGGAGAAAAAAGAGAAATTTGCATATTTTTAAAATATTATTACCAAACAGTTTGATACAATAGTTTAAGGAGTATCCACTCGTAATAACTCTTAAATATAGACAAAGTGTAGGAATTAGGTAAATAAATTCTCCATGCCGCTATTGTTTGACTCTTGAAAGAGATACAGTTTATTGCCTATTGCATTTTTTAAATGTAATAGGCATTTATTGCACAATTTCTTAACACATATCAAAGTCAAGATTGTTGGAGCTGAAAATACAAAAATCTAAATAATTATTAAGTCTTTATTATTATTAAGTGATGCAAGTTTTTAATATTATTATTTTTGCACAGAATTGCATAAACATACATGGTCGGCTTTGGGGCTCATGCATCGCTTTGTTCACATTTGATGTAAAACACTATCGTATCTCTTGATTACATTTGAAAAATCAGTTATATGGCCAATATAGGAAGAAAGAATTACAGTAAAAGTTATAGAATCTTTGTATTGTGGAACACATTGACATGCTGTCTGAATTTATTATCTCTCTTTCACAAATGTGTTGTTTATTATAGGAACATTGAAGCATACTATTAAAAACTTTTATATGTCTGTTAGCAAAAAAATTCTCTACTAACAAACTGTTTCAGCGTTATTGAAGAATATTGCAAAATTAGAAGAAATTTTTTTTTAAAGTAAAACATATAATATTTTCTTCGGGTAAAAAATCGATAAGACAAGGTAAAAATTATGAAAAGGATATATGTGGGCGCAGGGATAGGATTTCACAAGGACGGAACTGCGCCAATAAAAAAAAAATATAAGACATTTCTTATTTTGTATTGAAAAATATCAGAATATAACTTAAAATATCTCGGAAAATATCCACTTTTAAACTATTTTATTCGATACTCTTATACATGGAATAAACAGAGGAATCAATTTATGTTAACAGAACTATACATAATCCTATTTAAAAAATTAGATGTAACTTTACATATATCTTAGCAGTCACTGAAGTCAAGTGAGCAGCATCATCAGACGTGTCTCCTTGAAACCGTATTAATTTTATTTTCCACGTTTTCCAATAAAACTTTTGGTTTTCGAAAAACTTTAATACGTAATTTAAAATAAGACATCCTGTATTTATGTGCGTGTGTGTGTGCGCGTATGTGTATAAAAGCAACATGCTGTTTTGGGATGCTTTCGTGCATTTGATGTACTCGTTTACCACTATTAATATGTTTTAATTAAAAGACAACAACATCAATAAGACAACAACAATAACAAAAAAGAAAGAGAGAGCAGTTAAATAATTCCTTTATTAGAAATATCTACAATTCAAAAAATAATTTATATAAAAATATTCATAATTCATGAGGGCAATCTGTCTTTGTATTTTTTGTATTAATTCAAGTGATATGAGAATCACATAAGAGAGGTACAAATCGTTTAGAATGGTTTTTATGAAGGATTTAAATTCCGATACACAGTTATATGCGGATTACGATAACTGACACAATGTCCATGTAACTGTCTATATGGATACAAGGATTTGAAATTGTTTGGTCCATCATATACAGGATTTATATTTATAATCTTTCGTATGTTATTTATGTTCTCTACTGCTGTAGATTGCGATCTGGTTGTTAGAATATATGGACAGTTCATACTCACTACTGTGATGTCAATAAGCAATATTTTCGCCATATGTTTGTTTGATCAAAATGTGCTTGGAATGTTATGATTACATTCGGTTGATGGAACGTCAGATCTCTCATATACTCGTCATAAAGTCCAGGACGACACACGACACTAATTCTTCGATTTTTAGACTTGCAGTCATTACAACTTTCCAAATTTATATTTTCAGTTATTAATTCTTTCCCTATCAATACAACTGTTACATCTCTTATCCACCATAGAAGATGATGGAGAAGTTCCCAAGCCTTCATATATTTATATTCAATGTAATTTGCTGATATTACGTGGATAACATATTGAGGTCCTGCACTATGTAGAAGATCCATTTTCCTTTCCTCATACCATCATAGAGCGTGAATGGTCCTGATACATAATCGGAACAGAAATATGCAAATTTCGTAAAATCTTATTAGAACCAATCATGTGGTTATAAGAACAGTGCACATTATTCAAAAGAAATTCATTCATGTGTGCAAAAGATGTCGATATAGTAAGAAATGTATTAATCGTTCAAATTCTATAGGTATGACATATAAGATATTTAGATTAAGACATAACGTCAACTCGTGGCATTTTGATGGGTGATTCAGTTTAAACTCCAGCACATGACTAAGGCAATAGTTGTCGGAATGGCACACTCCACAGGAATGTATATAAATCTGTTGATGACAAATATGACATGATTTTGCGAAAATGATCATTTGCACTTCGTACGGCATTAGCCTACGTGGAAGCTGTTGCGCGATTGCAAGCAGAAATTTTCTTCTTGACTCAATCCATTGAGATGTTTCTAAACGACGAGAGCGTCATTTCATGCCATCGTTATCTCTTAAATATTGTTTTATATATGCGCAAAATTGCTGGTGTTGTACATGATGTTTGAGTCTATGACTTTCATTACAGTAAGAGATCATATAACAATTATTGCATAATATCGAACTGTCATCATTTCTTTTTTTGCAAACGTGACAAATATTTGGATTAAAAAAATTATTATAATTATAATCGCCGTTCACCCAACAACAATCGGTGTATAATCTTCTTACATCCGCGAAAATGTCCATGCCTTATATATTTTGTTTACCTGAAGATAGTGGATAAATTTTTGTAATTACAATTTGGATGTAATTTATGTGTGAAATACGGTACCTGAGCGTAAGTAAGATAGTTCTCTTTGCACAGTTCAGATGTATAGTTAGCGATCGTTTCGCGGACACTGAAAAACTGTTTGCATGTTTCCTTGAAAGTCACGAATGAAGTTGACAATCTGAACGGTATACAAAGTTATAATGGTTTACAAATATCCGTTTCCAAGTAGAATATTGCGCATAAAAACATATGGAGTTCTTGAACAATCTGTTACTTTTATATTGTACTCTATTATTTTCTAAATAGACTTAAAAATAATAATATAATAAAAAATATATAATTTAAATGTAATAGTATAGTAAATATATAATATAAATAAAATAAAATAAAATATGAAAGTAAACTTGGAAAAAAAAGAGAAATTTACATATTTTTAAAATGTTATTACCAAACAATGATACAATAGTTGATTAGTTGATAGTTGATAGTTTGATACAATAGTTTAAGGAGTATCTACTCGTAATAACTCTCAAATATAGGCAATGTTTAGGAATTAAGTGAATAAATTTTCCATGCCGCTATTGTTTGACTCTTGAAGGAGACACAGTTTATTGCCTATTGCATTTTTGAAATGTAATATTTATTGCATAGTCTCTTAACACATATGAAGGTCAAGATTGTTGGATCTTGATTCACCAAAATCTAAACAATAATTATGTCTTTATTATTATTAAGTAATGCAAGTTTTTAATATTATTATGTTGCACAGAATCGCATAAGCGTATATAGTCGACTTTGCGGCTCATGCATCGTTTTGTGCGTACATTTGATGTAAAACATTATTGTGTCTCTTGATTACACTTGAAAAATCAGTTGTATGGCCAATATAGGAAAAAAGAGTTACAGTAAAAGTTATAGAATCTTTGTATTGTGGAATACATTGACATGCTGTCTGAATTTATTATCTTTTTCTCTCAAATATGTTATTTGTATTATAGGAACATTGAAGCATACTATTAAAATTTTTTCTATGTTTGTTAGTAAGAAAAAACTCTATTTACAATCTGTTTCAACGTTATTGAAGAATATTGCAAAATTAGAAGGAATTTTTTATTAAAAGTAGAAACTGTATAATATTTTCTCCGAGTAAAAAATCGATGGAACAAGGTGAGAGATATGAAAAGAATACATGTGGACGCAGGGATAGGATTTTACAAGGATGAAACTGCGTCAATACGGATTTTACCCGGAGAAAATATTATGTAGCTTTTACTTTTAATAAAAAATTCCTTTTAATAGTGCTAATAAACTGTGTTTATGCCATGTACTTGTTGTATCAAGATATGCTTGAAATATTATGATTATATTTGGTTGCTGAAACGTCAGATCATTCATATACTCGTGATAAAATCCAGAACGACACACGTCGTTAAATTTCTGGTTTCATGATTTGCACACGTAACAACCAAAATTATACTTTTAGTTTGTAATTTTTGTTCTATCAGTACAACAGTTAGCCTTTTTACTATAAACGATGCTAGAAAAATTTCCAGATCTCCATATATTTTTTTCAATGGAGTATGCTGATACTACATAAATAACATATTGAGATCCTATGATATTTAGAAAATTTAGTAATTTCGCTTTTTTCATTATCATCATTTTTACAATGTAAACGGTCTTGATATAAAATCGGAATAAAAACATTAAATTTGTCCAATTTTTATGAAAATAGCTCGAATGTTGAGAACAATGTACATAATTTAAAATAAATTCCTCCATATTATTAGCAGATTTCGAAGGAAATGAAGGAAATTTTTTATTAAATTATATAGAATAGACATCTAAAATATTTAAGTTGAAACATAATGTCAACTTATTTTAATGTGTGATTGTTTTTAAAATCTTGCAAATAAATAAATAATATGAATAATAATGTAAAAGTTGTCGGAATAGCACTTTTAACATGGATATATATTAATCTGTTGATGACAAATATGACATGATTTTGCGAAAATGATCATTTGCACTTCGTACGGCTCTAGTGGAAGCTGTTGCGTGATTGCAAGCAAAAATTTTCTTCTTGACTCAATCCATTCAGACGTTTATGAACGACGAAAGCGTTATTCTATGCTATCGTTTTCTCTTAAATACTATGTTAAGTATGTGCAAAACTGCTGGTGTTGTTCATAATGTTTGAGTCTATGTCTTTCATTACAATAAGAGATCATGTAACAATTATTACATAATATCAAATTATCATTATTTGTCTTTTTGCAAACGTGACACATGTTTGGATAGAAGAAATTATAGTTAATATCATCGTTATCCAACGATAATCGGTCTTCACTTCTCGTACATTCATGATAACATCTATGTCGATATATTTTGCCCGAAGATAATAAATGCTTTTTTGAAATTTCAATTTGAAGATAATATATACGTGAAATACAGTACCTGAGCAGAAATAAGATAGTTCACTTTATACAGTTTACATGTAGTTGGTAACTGTCCCGCTACCACTGAGGATCTATTTACATATTCTCGTGAGTGACACGAATATAGTTGATATCTAGGTGGACAGTATATCGCAGCCAACCTGTGAGGTTCTTAGTTTTATGAAAGATTTTTACAGCTATGCCTGGATCTTGCCTGGAGGTGCTTCATAGTTGGCTTCTTCATTAGTGTTTTATGTTTTCCTTAATTATTATCGCTGATTATCCTCCCCTCGCTGTGTTATCTGGGTGTGATAAGTTTTAAATCCTTTTATTTTTAGGTAATTTTCCCTAATGAAATGTGTCTGATATAAAGCATACAACTATTTTTTTATCCCACAGGAATACTTCTAGTTTATGTATTCTTTTGAGCAATCCATTAGCATTCCATGTTGCTATTCTAACAGAGGAAGCCATTTTTATTTCATTTTATAAACAGCCGCTTTATTGCTGTTTTCCAATTTTGTGATTCTCTCCAGAATTGTTTTTAACATCTGGTTTTATTGTATTAAGATTTATCTCTGCTTCAGTACTCTCAGTTACTTGGGCATATGTCTTATTATCCGAGTTTTCCTGCGAGGTTAACTCCTCTCTTGATGGTATAGGAAGGTTTTATTTTTCCCCTCATATCATTTGTTTTGTATCGTGGTTGATTTAAAAGTACTTTTTTGTTCACGTAGAAGTTTGTCTCTTCTTTTAGAGTTCTTTTGCAACTATGCATCCTCGGTAGTTTGCTGGATGGGACACATTTAGTTTTTTCGAACTTCTTTGTCTTGCATTCTAGAGTGGCATGCTTTCCTGCACATTTTACGCATTTCGGTTCCTTATTGCAGTATGCTTGTGTATGACCGTACGCCTGGCATTTTTTACACTGAGTGATAAGTACTGTTCTTTTACGCAGTGGTTTGATTTTGATTTTCAGTCCAAATATAGTATTAATTTCATATATTCTTTTAATGTCAACTTATTTATTAAATGTTAACATAAACAATGATAAGGGTTTCTTGATAATGGTATTCTCTTTTTTTCTTTTTTCATAATATTAACAATATTTATAATAAAACTAACAAATAAAAATACAGAAATTGAATTTTATTTATTAAGAAATAAAAAAATTAAATTTCTAAAAATTAAATAAAATTTCTAAATAAATTATTTAGAAATTGTATTTTATTTATTCTTTGTTTCTTTATTTGAATATAATTCAACGTTACCATCAGCGTATTTGGCTCCGATCGTCCTTCACAAACATAGATTATATTTAAATTCTCTTGAGCCGTGTTATTGTATTTTTATTTGTTAGTTTTATTATCAACGCGGACTGAAAAATGCATGACTACAGGAATTTTAATTTGTTTTGTAATAATTACTTTCTCTTCATATCAACTTACTTTGGATTTCATGTTACGTCCTTGTTGAAAGATTGGATGAGTCTCAATGTAAAGATTATCAGTATCGTAGTACAGCTTCATTTCTTGCGCTTATGTAGAGAACATGAGGTTTTACCTAAACATATTCTTAAGATGCGCCACAACGTTAACTTTCAAAACCACAGATATATACGTAAACATTTATTGGCACAACTACGATTTCAAAAATTGTTACTCTCTTATGAAATCAATGATGCATGGAGATAGTTATCTTACTTCTGGAATAAAATTACTAACCTGACTTTTTATATAAAAAGGAAAGTTCCTGAGAAAGTTTGGTCAGAGTTTTTCGCGTCCCAACACAGAAAATATAATAGAATCTACCTACAGAAAAGAAATATTGCGTACAGGAAGTTTAATTGTCTCCAGAAGGAAATGACTAAGACTATAGTTGAGAACCTAAAACCGATAAAATACTATATACGTTTTGAGAATCGTTCTGTGCCTAGTGGTGATAGACATACGATGACGTTGCGGTCTCAAGCACTAAACAATAACGACACTGATAAATCTGAAATTTACATTTCGTGTAATGACCCTCACAAACACCTACTCCGGTAACAATTCCGGTCAATATTACTTCAAATGAGTTTTATAGTGACACAATTAATTTTTTTGCGATTCGGGAAAAATGGTTCGTGAATTTGTCGAATGTAGACGATGAACGAGAAACTATGACAAAAACCTTTATAAAGGAATTTGAAAAAAACCTTTGGAATTGTAGATCTCTGGATAAGACCAAAATGAGACTTAAGGTTAGCTCGCTATTGAGTTCACATCTGACAAGTC